TATATATCTCAGAAGAAAAATACCCTTAATATATTAAAGATAGTTGCATACATGATAGTAGATATTTTGCAAAAAAAAATAATGTGTATATTGGAACATTGCACCATTTTTTGTGCTTAGGTATATAATTTTTTGTACAGTTTTTTTTTAAGAAAATATATTTTAAAGTCTTATTCAGAAATCAGATAAAAATGTGTTTGAAAGAAATTGTGCATATAGCTGTATTGTGCATTTTATACCAGATGCTCTCTTGGAAATCTACATACGGTATGCAACTAAGATATGACTTAGATGAATAAAATTAAGAAATAGAAATGTGGTGAATCAAGGACAATTGTTCATCCTTAGAAGCATCCTACTACAGTCCACGTTTTGGATAGAGAGGACCATTGGTTTGAAAGAGGGGTAAAATAATCCCATCTATGTTAAACTTAAACACCTCTTCCTTAACAGAGAGGGAGGAATAATACACCAACTATCTCCAGTTTACAACGCAGTCCTTGCAGTGCTTCCAAGAAGATTCCACAACCAATTGCACCAGAAGTGGGTTCCTACCGGTTCGGCCCAGTTCAGCCAAACTGGTAGTGGTGTGCTGGCCTGGGTCACAGAACTGGCAGCAACCCAGGCTGGCCGCACCCATGAACTGGTTCCTCGGTCGCCGCCGCCACCACCGCCATCTTTTTTTTTTAGTTCTGCACATGCGCAGAACAATTCCCATTGAACTGTGCATGTGTGCAGCATGCATCCAGCACGCACATGAGCCAACCGGCTGTAACGCTGGCTGAAACCCACCCCTGAATTGCACCCTGATTCAGGTCACCCTGAGGGCAAAGATAAGCTCTCAAGTGGCCTCAAGAGCTCTCAGGGAGAGTGCTAACAACCACATGACTGCAGAGAAATACAATCCTTCCATTCTCCACCCAGCATCCTGCCAGAACCTACCCTTCCATCTCCCCACCAACCAGTCATCAACTGTCAGTACCTATCCTTCCATCCCACCGCCCCCCATCAGAACTGATGAAGCTTCTTGGACGCAAAGGGAAAAACAATCCAAAACAAGCCTTTTGAAGAAGAAGGAAAAAAAAACACCTTTGAGACAACTATGACCTGGATGACCGAGAATCTGAAACAGACATTCAACCTACTAAAGCTAAATAGGGCTGTTTTATATCTAGCTCAGGTTTTGTTCCATATTGCAAGAAAGATGGAGTAGAAATGCAATTCTGTAACATAAATAGCGAGCAGGTATTACAGCATATATAGAAAAAAGAAATGCAGAGTTGTTTCAGCTTTCATTCCTTCTTTTTTCTAGACATGTGATGTGACATTTCTGTCTCCCTTTTTTTGTCTAGGCAAAGATGTAACAGGGTCCAGTTCCCAGATATGTGGATATATAGGACTTGATAGCACGGGAAGTAGCCATGTAGAAATGCAGAAGCTAAACTTTGAAGAACAATTGGATTGCAAGGTAAGCTGGCTCATATATATATATATATATATACACACATGCATGCTTGCATGCATGCATGCATGCATGCATGCATACATACATACATACATACATACATACATACATACATACATACATACAGGTTTTGGTGTATTTGGGTCTTTTCCCGTGTAAGATTGAGAGTATCTTGGCGATGTTTCAACAAGGTCCCACTCGTCATCTTCAGGCTGGTGTCTTCGGCCTCATGGCACAAGGCCGAAGACATCAGCCTGAAGATGATGAGTGGGACCTTGTCGAAACATTGCCAAGATATTCTCAATCTTACACGGGAAAAGACCCAAATACACCAAAACCTGCATACCTGTACCCGTGAAAATCTACGATATACATACATACATACATACATACATACATACATACATACATACATACATACATACACACACACACACACACAATAGCAATAGCAATAGCAGTAG